CCAACAAATTTTATCTCTATTGGTCGTTTTTTTCGTCTATTATTCCCCGTCAAAGTAAAAAATCTGAATTTACATACACCCCCCTCCAATATATAAACAAACAAATAAATAAAGATGCTCCAAATTGTGAGATGGGTAATTCTGGAATCAGGAGGTTATGAAACGAAAAATTATGCATGTCCCATCATTTACTGCTTCAACCGGACCAAATCCAATAGGAGATTTTCCTGTAAAAAACCTGTTGAAAAAAAACTAGAAAATTTTTTTGTTAAGAAAAAACTACCAAAAACTCTACCCTAAAACATGATAATGTATGTTTCTAAATCGTATGATTGATCTGATTTAAACAAACGATTCCACATACTGATCCGTTGACTGGATCAAGCTTGGGTGCGAATAGCAATTCTCATCCAAGGCGGCTCCATCATCATCATGATCATCATTTTTATTCTTATTCTATCGGTGGCGCTGCAGTTGAAATAGTTTGTCAATAACCAGCATTTGCGAACAGATTTTACCATTGCTCTTATGGCAAGTGAATCAACTTGCATTTATATAACTTTGGTTTTTGGTAAAATGAATAAGTTTATTGGGACACTTGTATTTTAGCATAGAAAGGAAAGACTACTCGCACAAAATAGGATGCAAATACAGTAATTCCTTCAAATTTTTTAGTGATGATAAGAATAATCTTGAAGATAGATGCTAAATAGTTCGATAAAGAATTTAAAAGTCAAAGGTAAGAGCCAGAATTGTCAAAATGGAATATTTATTCAAAACTTCAGCTCAAATAAAATTCAGTTTCATTGAAATAAAAATCATTGCGAAAAAATAAGCAGCTGGACTTGATACAAAAATAATGTTCCTAGAAAAAATGCTGCGAGATGAACCCAATTATTCTTGGAAATCAAAATCCAATTTTGTATAAAATCTCTTTTTGAAAATTTCATCAAACTTTGCGCCGTTTAGCTTTGATGCATTCGATATCTACTAATTTTTCTTCTTCTGGAAGAAGTTCTTTCAGCATCTTCAGAGCAATTTTAGATTCACCAATAGCCAAGTTATTGTCAGACTGGTAAAGAATTCTGCCAGAAATCAGGTTAACGTATTTCCAATGATGTTTGACCAAAGGCCAGCATTTTTTAATGTATAAATTTAAAGCCTGAAACAAAAGCACAGAAGTAGTTTGAAAAGCTCCTTAAGTTCAACTGCAAAATAATTTTCATAAGTTATATCTATTCTAAAACACCAAAAAAAAGTAAAAGAGTGAATCCAATAGAAATGAATCATAGAAGTAAAATTGACCAGAAATAAATCCGATAGATAGGCTCCATTAAAAAATTTTCATCTTCTTTGAATAATTTTGTTATCCTATTTTATCGATAGGCCTAATATTCCTTCATAATGTCTCTTATCTCATTCAATCCTCCTCTTCACCCAGAAGAACTTGAATATTTGAATCTGTCTTTAATAGATCAATGAAATAATTTCATAAAATTTACAATGACCTTGACAATTTTCACAAGCAATTTAATTTAATTTATCGAATACGATAGCAGAGAAAAGAATAGTGAAATAATAAATTTGTAAATTCAACTCTCACCAAAAAATTAAAAAGCTAAGAAGATTTATGAGGACGAATGGATTAAATTATCAGGCGTCTTTTTGGTGGTTTAATGAATTTAAATTTTCTCAATTACTCAAACATAAAGTTTCAATTACATCAATTTAATTGAAATAACAAAAGTATGAGAACATACTTTTCATAAATTACTTATCAACCTACCATTATAGCGTCCAATTCCGTCATGGGAACTTTCGCATAATCTTCAATAATTTGTAATATTTTTTGAGACCAGCGACCAAGTGCCAGATTACCATATTCTAAAATAATATGTAAACTTCTGATGTAAGAGTATCGCCTCTGCATATCTTGTTCGTATTCCATCATTGGCAAAGTTATATTTAAAATTTCGTCAAAGTAAGACCACTGTTTGCCAACAAAACAAATATAAACGGTTCAGAAGTGTAGAATCAATGCAGATTATTGGAGGTAAAAATTCTAGTTTTCATTACCTTCAAGTTGACTCCAACATCCTTGAATCTTGGGTTGGATTTATCAGCAACTTCGATAGCACATTTAATTAAGGGTAAAATTAATTCAGATTCTCTGTAATAAAAAAGAGGTTTCACAATATTTTGTAAAACTTCAATTTGAATATTCCAATGTAGTTCTGCTTTGGACTGAAAAGAAAAAGAAATAAATTAAGTAACAGAAGTTTTGAGGATAACTTGACTAGCATTAATTACTTACAACATTTGCCATTATATGTCGGAGACAATTTAAAGCTATGATTTTGCTGCTTATTTCAAAATCAGTGACTATTTTCAAGCTGATGGGTAAACACATGCGAATGAAATGTTTCATATTCGGAAGCTGTAAAATAATAAACAAATTAGAGAAAAAATATATCAGTAAAACTTGTGAGGTTTGATTAAAAGACAAAAGTTAATCAATGTCCTATATTTTTTAAAGTAATTTCAAAGTAAAAATTAATAAATTGTAATAAAAGTAATTGAAATAGATCAAATCGAAGTTTCACCAAATTATTATTCGGATATTTGTAGTTTAAGAATTTTTTTTAGATGAACTCTATTTTCAACCTTTATAACTCAGTACACAGCTGGGTTTGAAGAAAATTTGAAAATAGGATTAAGGCTATTTTCAGAATCAAGCCTTTCACTACTATTGATCTCAATTTTTCTAACAATAACCTTTGTTTGGTGAATAAGCCACGAATAGCATTGAACTGAAGCTGGATGATATTTCCACAAATCTTTCGACAATTTTGGGAGAATTTCACCAAATATATCACAGCCATGATATGTTTCCTTGGTATCAATTTGTACAAGAAAAGTATCTACGTTTGGACAGTGAAATATTTCCAGCACAGCATCGAGGACAATCTGAGAAAGTTCGCAACATTCATTATCGGTCCACAAAAAAAACCTGAATGTTCTCCACACAGTATAATCGAAGAATAAATTAATTTAAGAAAAGGACCATCATCTTTCTGATATTTTTCTGAGGCAGATGATAAAGCTGATTGTAAAATCTTGAATGTTTGTTTAGCTGCATCAGGAATTGAAGAAAAATCTTCACGTTCAAATGGTCGAGATTCTATAGTCTTATTTTCAGGAACAAGAGCCTGAACCACCAGCTTTTCCAGTTTGGACCAATATTCATCGTCATTTGAAGAAACCAATGAAAGATCTGCTAGCTGGGGTTGTAGAGTAGTATCATCAGTCATTGTATGAGATGTAAGATTTCACGCAAAACTAATCGTGAAACATAAATAAATAATTGTCGAAGATTGATAACTTTGAGGACAAATCTCTGAAAAAAAAGAGGCGAATTGTTGAACAAAGATTAGTGAAAAATAAAGTGAAAGAAACAGAAGTATAATAATGATTATTATAAGTACCATATTAATTGAGTAACAACTGGTAACAACACATACATATTTAGCTTTCATGCAAGTGCAAGTATGAATAGCGATCTAAAGACTAAAGCAAACATTAAAACTTACAACGAGGGGACAATACAATCAAAAAATTATTTTAAAAAATTTCAAATTTTTACTCTTGATTTGATTCCTGAATCCTGGATTTAAAATTGGGAAATTCAAAATTGCGGCATCAAAATTTAAAAATAAAAATAAAAGTGATAAGAGATGATGAGTGTTACCTTTTTATTTGGAGGAAAGTGTTTTGTTTCTACTTTCTCGGTTTCTCCTCATCTCCTGTATGAATAAAACATTCTTGCTCTTGCTGTAAAAAATGCTTCAAGTTTTACTATTTTGTGAGAAAAAACATTCGAAACGACCTCAAGTTCGATTAGATTTGAGATTTGAGGCTTGAGCAATAAAATTGAGCTTATTATTTTGCTGCCTTAAATCCTTAAATACATTTTCTGTTTCATTTTATTGCTACACTGACTCTGTTTTCATGTTTTTCTCTTGACTTGATGAAGCCAGCCAGGTTGAAGTCTCTCTCCATCTCTCTCTTTCCGTTGTCATCTGCAAAATTTCTATTTTTTACAGTCAAAAATTTTAATTTACGTTCTCTTGTTGCGAATTAATTGAATTTCATGTTAATCAATCATCGACCATCGTCTCCTTCAATAAAATGTGAGACTTGAGTGTATTCGTTAGACACCACCGAAATGTGATTTCTTTATTCAGAGCCTGAAAAAATCGTCCTCTTTCTCTAGCAACATGAAAAACGAATCTGACGAAGGGACAGATTTCCTGAAATCAGGTATTTTTGTAATATTATAATCCTTTGATTTATTTCTGATCTTTGGCAAATTTGATTGTTCTTCATTACTTCATTTTCACGAGATAAAACTCGAATTATTTTATGTATAATTCTAATCTTAATCATTTCGAAAAAATTTCAGAAAGCATTGAAACTCCTGGTTCATTGAATTCATCCTCAACAACAAGTGCAGGTATGTAGTTTTTGGTCTTTCGTTATCATCTCATCTGTCCTACTTTATTTTCGTATTATTTGCTTGTTCTCATAAAACTCAGTCATCACCGAAGAAACTGAAAATGCAGACGATGAAGATGCTTCAGTTGAGAACTACGATTTGCATTTCTCTCATCTTAACAGTAGCGATGCACATACTAGCTTTTCATCTGGTAATGCTTGATAATGTCCAAGTGCCACTGTATTTCTCATTTTACAAGCTAATTAAAATTAATTTGTAGATACATCTAAATATTCGGCTTCCACCATCCCCTTGCACTGTAAACTCGAATATGAGAAATCTACTCGAAGTATTGAATTGCGGCCGCCAGGTGAATGCATTATGCGAACGCTATTTTACGATTTTACGCAGCAAACTGCCAAAAAAATGGAAGAAGTTGTGGCAGAACCATTGGTGAGCATATTATGGAACATTAATTTGATATATGCGATGACTCCTTCCTAACAGCTTGGTTGTACATTTTAGGAACGACCTCTGTCAAAAATTCTTCAACGAGGTGAAGATAGTCAGTTCGACCAGCTTATTGTAGCTTTCGGCACCGTTGCTGAACATTGTTTACCTTCGCTGTTGAAAACTTTATTTGCATGGTATGAGAGGCAACTTGGTCAATACGAACCTGACATCACAGCTC